TATGTATATATATCGTGCGCCCAAGAATAACTAGACCGGAATGTGAGCTGATGACTTGATCTGGTTAGTTCATTGGTGACATATCAGCCATGTGAGGGATTTGGTGTTTAAATCCAAAATGGAACAGTTAGTAGCGCTACTAAGGAACTCCATCCACGACGAAACCAGAGTGTAGTGATTCCTCGAGTGTGTGACTGATCGGATGAACTGAGAATTATGCATGAAAATGAAATCATTTTTCAATTTCATTCTTTGTATTCAATACATAATGATACAATTTTCAAGAAGGAGGGAGCGGCCAATCAACGGACTGCCATATGACACACAACTAGGGAAATTCAGGGGGTGGTGGTGAGTCGAACACATCCTCCGGGGTGATAATTTGGTGACGTTACCACCGGGCCACCACCACCCGATGGTCATTCAAAATTGAAAAGGTTTTCGATCCGGTTTGCTACAACTACGGTTTTGGACCGTTTTCTGGTTTTCATAGATCAACATCGTTGAAATTTCATTAAATGATTATACGCGAAACGTAAATGAATGTAATTTATCAATGAGCTCTCCGAAGTTCACTGTTTTGAGATACTACTGCGCTCCTGGTACAGAGCATCCAAACAAAAACGGGAATCGAGTGATTGACGGCGTTTTGGGAGCTTTTGATACAAAGCAATCCTAAACCTTAGTGAACTAGTGAATTTAATGAAAGGATGATCTTGCCGGAGACTGAAAGTAAAGTATAAACTTTTGATTACCTTGACTAAATTTTAACATCGGTTTAACTGTGAAAAATTCTTTGTTGACATACCAACTGTCGGGGACCAGCCCTCCTGCAAAAATCGGCACCAGGAAAAACCAATTCATTCGAATGTAAATCTGTTAGGGAAATCTGTCGAACGGTACGTGCGTTTCTTCTCGATAAAGGCCCTATGTCACGGAGTAGTTCATCCTGGAATGACGAAAACAAATTGCACAATGCGCTTGGATCTAGAGTACCCAATTTTAAATGTATCGCTTATTTAGGACATTGAAGTATAAGTATGTACTTTCTCGTGAACATATAAATGACGAAATGTGGCCTGTCAGTCCAAAATATAAATCACTAAATTTATTAGTTTTTACCTCCTATATCCTTTTTCACATTTACGAATTTCCAAACAATAAATAGTTTAAATTTTGAAGATGGAAAAAATACCACCCTCAGAGTAGGTAGTCAAGACATTCCGATTCGGGTGTGTTTATTACGTCAAACAATGCACTGAAAGTGGTACAATCTGACGAGAAACAGAGACAAAACACACATCATTTTTGGACTATTCAACATTTACTCCCGTGCTAAGAATCGATTTGCAAATGGGGTTTTGTGCACTTCATCTGCAAAGCACACATTTGGTCAGTTTATTTAGTTCCTCATATTTTATCGCAGTAACAATCGTTCACCTTCAATCGTTGCAGTTAACAACATGGAGTGTGAACGAAAGATAGAAATCTAAACCCTGTATCTGAAATTTTATCTGGACTATTGTCACCAGTAAATCCGACGCGAAAAAATAATTCCACACACAGCCATCAACTTTAATGCACAGTATCTCGTTAGCATTCTTTACTTTATTAGGGTCTTAGATTAGATAAATACAAAACAAACAAATAAAATAAATGAATAAAATATTCGATGTTCAAAAAATTAAGAAATAAAACTATATCAAACCGTCTAAATCAACGTACCTTAATTTGAACTGTGCACTCTTTACGCAGAACCAATTGCGTATTTGTATTATCTTCCACTTTTTTCAAAAGCATTAAATCCTCCTTTGGTGGTCTGGAACGCAATTGTTCCAGGAATTCTCGTTCTCTGGCACGACGATGCTGATCACGTTCGGTGTGTTCTTGTCTCATCTTTGCGGATCAGGAGGCGCACAATTGTGCCATTCGGCAGATCAATACGTGAAAGTTGGCGGACAAGACGGACAATTGGCAAACGATTAGAATAGTTCTTCATTGAACTAACGCAATAATGAAAGCCCATGTTTACAAGCGTTGCTACTTATAACAGGAAACTTAGCTTGGCTTAGTCGTCTTTATCTAAAACTATAATCATTTTGATTTCACAGACAATGAAGCCTTCCCTATGTATGAGGCGAAGTGTCGTTGGGAGATTGGTCTTACTTGGGATATTTAATGAACCCATCATATCGATCTCCAAAGTATTCAGTATAGAAAAGGAATCAAGTGCGGTTTGAATAGTCATTCATGAAGAAACACTAGCCCCCATGCGAAAGCAATAACATTTTGTTCATAATACTGTCTAGTAATCCGTTTCAAAACTCGTTTGTTTGGTTGCTGTTTACTTTATCACCAATAAATGATTGCAAATATTGTCTTAAAATGAAAAGTTTTATTCTCTCCGGTCACCTTGTCCCTTTAGTTCTAGTCTAAAAGTTTTGTTTTGGTTTACTGGCTCTTCCATCACTTCGAAAGGTAACTTTGGAATTACTGCTTATACTGGTATTTCGAATTATTTGACATCGTCACAGATCGACCGGTATATGTCCATTTGAAAGTCCGTTAACTAGAGTGAATTCTCTATTGACTCATACAATCGACCAGTTAACCAACTACCTGATCGATAAATCTAATAATTGGCCTAAGGTGGGTTTATCTGCGAAGACTCATTGTTTAGTTTCGTAACCAAGACTACCAATGGTGTGCGTTTGGATGCACTCGAAGGTGGTCAGTTGTGACCGGACAAAAGAGTGATTTGGGTTGTCGAACATAAACTCACAATTTGTTCACAAATAATTTTAGGTGATCGGAGGGACAATAAGGACTTGGGATTTACTCTGCTTATGCTCGAGGTCCTGTAGTGCTCACAGCGAAACCAATGTACGGAAACCAGGTCAAAGTATAAGTCCACATAAATGGATAGCCTACTTAACATAACCATAACATGATCACTCATTGATATAATCAGTGAAACATTTGGAATGTTATGTTTCGATGCGCCTATTCGAACTGAACAACCCCGCATATGGTGCTGTTTGTGAGTCGGCTGTGTAATTAACATGTATTTCATACACGAGGAATTAAGGAAACAACGAGTGGTAGGTAAGTACATCGCTCTATCCGCATCACGTTATTTCGTCTTTTTTAAATTTTAGTAGTATTCACAAGAGATGGGGCATAACCACAAAAAATTGTGCATTCAACTTACTTTATGCAACTTTATCGATTCTTGCCATTTGAAAAAGCAGATTCGCTTGAGGTGTTGCTCACGAAAATCACTGGCCTGTGCTTCCAGACTGGAATTTTGACAGAGTTGAACGACAGGAGTAAGTTTTGTGAGGAATCATTTTATGAGATATATTTAGCCAATACAAGTCTGTAATGGGTCCGGATAATTACGTGTGGGAAAATTGAATTGACTGTGCACTAGATAGCCTCCAAAAACCTCAGTATGATCGGGGAGTGGGGGGTGGTTGGGGTTGCGGCTGACCACTCATACCTCGCACCTAGCGAAATGCTCCCGTAAGACCTAGAGTCTTAAATATTTTCTGCCAAGGAAGCCCTACACACTGCCTTCCCGTGGCGAAGCTGTTTCTCCAACAAACGGAGAGGATGAAGAGCAGACATTCGTGGCTATAACCGGGTTGATGGGCCACTGGTAGTTCACCCAGATAAGTTGGCCAAAACCCCTGATTCCTAATCAACCAAGAAGAGGCGTACAAATCACACACCTTCCCGGTTGTAGCAGTGATCACCGGCTCAACTGGGTATCGAGATATATTGGGCGGCATGGACGTTTGACCCCGTAAAAAGAGCGTATTAGCCGATGAACTGTGCGGTTTTCGCACACCGCCTCGATGCTTTGCGGGTCAGGTTTTGGCTAACCAAAGGCTCTGTTTATGGATTCCTCGAGAAAATTCATCTGCCTTGGTCTGGGCAACCTGGCAGTATTCCGTCCATATGCAAGTCATGGAATGTCGTACCATGATTTGTTTACAAATTTTCTTTAGTTAACGTTTGACTGCTCACAAACTACAGTGTGCAATGACTCATAATAAGCTTTACGATTGCATACCACGCTCCTTTTATCCTTTTATCCTGATCTGGATCACATATCAAATATTCAAACAAATTAAAGCATAAAATCGTACCGCTCTAGTTGCTTGGCTTCAATCTCTGCCAGTTCTATCTCTTTGCTAAGACGAACCCGGATGACCATTGATTTCCACGCGCGTAGCACCGAGCGCTGTAGCCGTAGTTCGTACCTCACCGTTGCGGCTTTCGAGCGAACGTATGACTGTTGCACTAGACGGTTCCAGGCGGTCAAACATTTGTGCAGCTGATCGGAATTAGAAATGAAATGAAGTTGATCAAACTGAAATTGCTTTAAGATGAAAACACCCAACCTCTTTTGATCAATTGTTAGGAGTGCAAATAATGTCTGACAGTTAATGCAGAACGTACAAACGTGCGTGTTTCCGTGGAAAACTGTAATCTCGGCAAAACGTTTTCATTTGTGTCAGGTACGGGATTCCTCGATGACGGGTGAGAACAGGACTTGTCGTCATCGGAACTACGAGAATTGGATGAACTTCGGTCGAAATCTGGCGATGCGTTGATGTTCCGGTTGGAAATCCTTGTAGATGGAATTGTACTCTCTGCGTACTGCGCAACTTCGTTCTCATTTGTCAGCCACTGACGACATCTAATGACAAAGCATAAAAATGCAATAATATTTCGGCTCTATGAAAAAGCATTGTAGTGCCGAACGTTAAACTAAAACGGTGGGATTCCTTGATTTGTCTCAGTCCACAGAAAAATACATAGAATTTCCGTTTATGCGTATTGATTTTCATTCTAATTATTTGATAGTCCGTTCGATCATCATATAACAAAGAAACTAACAGAATATTACCATAGCAAGAGAACCAGATGCACGAGAAAAATTATTAGGTGCGTAAACGCAGGTCCGGAGGACCCAATCGACAAGATCTAACACCATCTACGTTGTCCAACCTCGTAGATATTGCTTTCAAAACGTCCAGTCCATAGTCACACGAACGTTTTGGATTTCTTCCAATCACAACTGTCTGTTATGTAATCTCCGCACTTATTGCGATAAATTACTACGTTGAATGGATAGGTGGTCCAAACCCGGTATTGCTGCTCTCATCGTCCCCCAAAACAAAGACTTGGTTGTCTAAACAAAAGCATACTTCAGTATTTCGCATAGATCGGTTCCATATTTGCATTCTGTATTAGTATCTACAGTATCTACAGGGTATCTACAGCTCAATCTATATTCCATTTGAACAAAGGGAACTAGCAGCAGTATCGTACGTGGATTCAAATTCATCGACCTTTCTTTCTTTTTCGAATGACTTTTTTGGCGGGACCAGTAAGTCCAGTGGCCGCTTGATACATTCTGGAATTTGAACAAACCTACAGTCATTAACGTTAACCGGAAAGCACACAACTACAACCTCTCCCCGTTTCCACTGGTCATTATATTTTCTCCCCGAAACGCCTAGTCAGATATCCTTCGATTCGAACGAAGGCTAACAGTATTATCCCTACAAGAAGACTTAGCATTTTGAATTAAAAAAGCGAGAGAATACAACTTTGGAGATCATTTTCTGGGTAGACTTGATCGAAGAAGCATTGTAATTACAAAATTGACCGCATATATAGCGGTTATTTAACATAACTGGACTCCAACACTACGCCAATCTAAGATAAAGTACTAGAATTAATCACAATTCAAGAGCTCTACATACGTAACCAGTTTATTTGTGGAAAGTGATCGTATCAAAATATAACTGAAGATAAACAAGATGTAGCCACGGTGTAATTTGAGGTTGGAATAATAATCGCATGTGTACTATAACGTGCGGAAGACGGAGTAGAGAACTTCAGTCGACCGCTGACTGCATAAAGTCTATAATCTGTGTAACTCATTCATGCCTTGCTAATGCATTGCACATTACCTTGCAGCCAACCTCCCTAGCCATGTATTCTTACCAACTAACTGAGTAAGAAATCGACAGATCAAATTGAAATATATTTATATCCTCTTCATTCGTTGATATCGTTTTTAGTTCCGTAAACCTGCCTGATTGACATTACTTATGGTATACAACCACGAAATTCTAAAGCTAAAACAGATTTGTATTCGATTGTAACCTATTCTTGACTACACTTTTGTGGTACCCATGAAGAACAGTTTGACTGCCAACCGTTTGTATGAATCATAAATCAGGCCAATTACCTTTCACGACTCGCACGATTTTTCTCGGCTTCAAGTTCTTTGCGCACACGTATCATTTCCAGTCGAATCAACTCCTCTTCTTTCCGCTGTCGTTTTAGTGCAGCCTCTTCTTGCTGAGTGCAAACGAAATGGATCAAAAACATAATTGATACTTTGTATATCTTTGACCGGTTCGGAATAAAACAGTACAACAAGCCATGAGTCCCAACATACCATCCTCCCCTACAAAAAACTTACAAAGTAGAAACCACTAGAGAATTATGTGAAAGGTAAAACTTGATTAAGATTCTGGAGTATTTGGCTCATCAGTCTCGTACGACTGACAATAAGATAGTGGTGTGACGTCATGTTGTGCAACACCTATTACTTAAGATACTACTGAAAGAAATAGGCAAATGGAATATTGTCATCACTTGACAGTAATGAACATGTATGCTTGAAGCACTGGGTCCCCTTTCTCCACTACATCAAAACGAAAAGAA